GAGGCCTTGCAGGACTATGTTTAAAATTGGGTACGGGAGAGTGCATATGTATATACATATACACACAATTATGCTCCTTTTCTTCTTAGCACACTTAATCATTTTCTAAAAATTACGTCTTTTTCTTATATCTTGCTTCCTCTTTATTTGCTTCCCTTAATGAGAATATAAGCAGTAAGAGCAAGGATTTGGGTGTGTTTACTTCTATGTCTTGAGTGCCTAGGCTAGCGCCTAGCCTAGAGATAGGGTTCAAGATACAGTCAGATAGGGAATGAGGGTTTTTCCCCCCCTTAGGGCCTCTACAAATTGTTTCTTCTTCTTTGGTTGGTTCCTTGTGTCATTCAAATATAAAATTAGTAGCCTCCTCAGATGGCCTTCCCATATTATCCTGCCTGAAGTTTCTCCTAATCTCTTTTGTCATACCATCCTAATTTTTCCTACGTGGCATTTTTTACAATCTGATATTTTTCTTACTCATCTTTGTCTGTTGTCTTCTTCCCCTTCTTTAATTGAAAGTACATTCCATGTAGATCAGGGACATTGTCTGATTTACTGCTATATTTCTGCTATCCCAGAGACACTGAAGAAATATTGGTTTAAAGAGTAAACAAATGAGGTTCATTGTTCTCTTGGCATAAGCATCACTTTCACCCTTTGAAAGCAGGGAGACCTTACCTCATTTCTCCCTGCTTACTCACTAGAGCTTCCTCTTTGGCTTTCATTGATCCTCAAACTTTTGAGATGTCTACCAACCTGCAGCCTCTGATATAGGTTCCAACACTGTGCCCAACAACAGCCTCCTTCCTGCAGTCATAAAATTCTTTAATTTTCAGTTACCCGGCTTTTCTCTTGGCAAGGGTTTTTCTGCATCATTTCCATGTTCTCTTTGGGCTGAGAGAACCTGAGTAGGGCCTCCCTCTCCACTTTTACTCATTTGTAGCTTCTTATGTTGACGGAGCATATTCTACGAGGCTGCCTCCTCCAGAGGATCTCAGGGAGAAGTAGGGGGGTAAATCCTTTCTGCCCTCTAATCCCTCAACCTGTCCCAGAAGAGGAAGGGGTGGTTCTTAGCCACTGTCATGTACTCTCAACTTTCTTCAGCTGGGGTTTAAAAAAGTGTTTTATTGTTTTGTCTTTAATTTATCCTCTATCTCACTCTTATCCCATAAAGGCAGGGGTCAGTTCTTTATATATATATTTTTCTTTTCATCCTTAATATCCACATTTATGCCACTTAAAAGAATGAAGTCATTTTTTGATACTGCAATATGGTGATTTATAAGGAATATATATTTGGTCTTTCAGATGACCAAAATATATTTTTTATGTATATTTGGTCTTTGTCCAGGATTCTTGGCTCACATCTCTCAAAAACCTTAGAATTTCATAAGTGAGGAGAGCAATAAGGATGTCTTTTGTTATGTTTTGATGTGATTACTTTTGGACCACACCTGAGGATGGGGGCTGGTTGCTGGGAGAACCAACCATGTGATTAGAGATTTGGAACTTTAAGTCCCACCTCCCTGACCTCCAGGGGGTAGAGGGGGGCTGGAGGGCTGAATCAGTCGCCAATAAGGAATGATTTAATCAACCAAGCCTTTGTAATGAAGCCTCTATAAACACCCAAAAGGACAACGTTTGGAGAGCTTCCAGGTTGGTGAACACGTGTGATTAGAGGAGATTGTCACACAGATTGGGCATGGAAGCTCCCTTTCTGCATACCTTGCTCTGTGCATGTCTTCTATCTGGCTGATACTGAATTATATTCTTTTATAATAAACTGGTAATCTAGTAAGTAAAATATTTGTCTGAATAGCTGCTCTAGCAAATTAATTGAACCCAAGGAGAGGGCTGTTGAAACCTCCAATCTGTAGGTGGTTGGTCAGAAGCACAAGGGCCAGGAGTCTTATAGAATTGAGCCCTTAACCTGTGGGATCTGATGCTATCTCTAGGTAGTGTTAGAATTGAATTGGATTGTAGGATACCCAACTGGTATCTGAGAATTGCTTGGTCGTGTGGCTAAACTCCCCCTCCACATATTGGAATTGGTGATCAGAATCATTTGATACGCAGAAATTTAAATTCTTTAAACATTGACTCTGTGCATCTAACCCAGGGGTGGGGAGCCTTTTTTCTGCTAAGGACCATTTGGATATTTATAACATTCGTGGGCCATACAAAATTATCAACTTAAAAATTGGCTATGAAAAAAGATCCTAGGTTTATTGAATTTCGAGTCCCACTTGCGGTTGCCTTGGCAGGTCCAGACCAAATGATTTCGCTGGCCATACATGGCCTGTCACGGGTGGGGCTTTCTCCATCTAACCTCATTCCTTTAAAGTTACAGCAATTAGTTTTACTATCATGTTACTCGGTTTATATGTACAACCTGGGTGGGCATCTTGGACTTTATTATCATTTTTAGATCTTGTTTCACCATACTTGTAAAATAGTTTTTCGGCTCAACTTGAGTTGGCTTTTTAAGGCCATGGGCTCTCATCTTACATTACTGTGTCTGTTTTATATTTTAGTGTTCCAAAAAATTGTTTTCTTAAGTGAAAAGGAGAAAGTTTATCATGTCCTCATTTGCCCATATTTTGTTCCCATGGTTTTAAGTTGAAAGCTCAGAGTCAGTTATCATCTCAGCACTAGGTGGCACTTGTGCATCACAGTTAGTCATGCACGCCTAACACAGTTTTTGTGACAAGTGCATGGTGCACAAATATAGCATTTGAAATCCCTTTGTGGACATTCCTGAGAATAGGAAAATGGAAGGAGGAGAACTACTGAGTACCAGTTGCTTTGATGTATTTGTAAGTACATAGTTGAAGAATATAGTAAATTACTTAGTAATATTTCATAGTAATATCAAATAGGTAGGAGGGTTCCCATCTATACCTTCTTAGTCTCATGTTGCCATAAAGTTGAAATTTGCTTTAGGACCTGTTTGCTATTCATCATGGTTAACTGAGAGAGAAATAAGTAGTGCAGCTCCTCCTACTCAATTCCAAACACTTACTGTTCTTTCGTAGTATTTAAGAAAATGCTTGGTTTTGACTTATAAATCCTATAAATATTCACTGAGGAAAATGTAAGCATCTCTCTTTTACTGTTGAGAAAACAGAAGCTCAAAGACATTAACTTTCCCAGCATCATAACTAATAAGTAAACAGGACCAATATTCAAACTCAAGTCTGTTAGGTTCTAGAGCCCAGACATGCTTTTTCTGTTATTCTAATGGTACGAGGGTTAGCCAGTACCCATTTATGTTAAAGCAACTGGATGGCAAGTTCATGTTACCGATGTTGGTTCCTTTCTCTTACAAGAGGTGTGGAGTAGAGCAAGAGCCTAAAGAGCAGGAGGAACCTGAGCAACCTGGGCTAGGAAGGGAAAAGGAAAGTCACCAAAGAAAAGGCTGGCGACCAAAGATGTTGGCCTACTTTTGCCTAAAGTCAGGTTCCTTTAAGCCGATGACACACAAGCTGAATAGAGGGAATTGATCATTACCTACTGTAGGCTTCAAATCCTGGCTTCTCTGAATATTTACTGACCGTCTGATCTTGGGCAGTTTGCAAACTTGTGACTTGGTTTATTTGCCTTTAAAACGGAGGGGGATTAAATGTGTCGATTCATGAAAGCACATGGACTGGTCCCTGGCATGTGATAAACAATGCATGTTAAGCAGCATTTTAACATTGTTAATGTTAAACCATAAATGTATTAAGCAACATGAGAAATGTCTATAATTACCCTAGCAACAGCCAAGTTTGTTATAGAAGAGTTTTGTGTCCAAGAATTTGTTCATGTAAGTTTAGCTAAAATGAAGAGTCCTCCTCCGAGGGAAGATATATCTACTTTCTGAGATATAATACAGATAATATGTGTATAAATTAGGATTCCTAACATTCTAGTGTTAGATTGCCTAATATCAACCACACTTGCTATTTACTAACCATATAGCCTTGGGCAAGTTAGTAGGCACTATAATAGTTCAGTACCTATTACATAGAAAGTACATCATAAATGAAAGATATATAGGGAAGTAGATTTTTGCTTAAGAAAAAGTATGTAGATCCATTGGAAGTTGATAGATTGCAGCAAGTGGCACTTAAATAATGTCCTTTACAATGATAAAATCTAATGATTTTGTTCTAACAAGTATCAAAACATGTTTTGTTTTGTTTAGTTGTTTTGATATTACGACAAATTTCAAACACTTATAAAAGTAGACTAGATTGAGAGCAGTGAACCTATGAGGGACCCATCAGTTAGCTTCAACAATGATATAATACATGACCAATCTTTATATTACAATTTTTTTAAAATAACTTTAATGAAGTATTTTACATGTCAAAATTCATGCATTTGAAATGTTACAATGATTTGTACAAATTACTGAGTTGTGCAACCATCACCATAATTTATTCAAACCTATTTATCACCTTGATAGGATTCCTTCTCCCTATTCACAGTTAATCCCAATTTCCACTCTCAGCCCCAGGCGAACCACTGATTTACTTTGTATCTCTATGGATTTTTCTTTTCTGGACATTGCATATAAATGGAATCATATAATATATGGTCTCATATCTGGCTTCTTTCACTTAGCTTAGTGTGTTTGAGGTTCATTCATGTGTTAACATGTATCACCGGTGTTTCTTTTTTTGACAAAACATTTTATTTTATACATAATGCCACATTTTGTTATCCTTCACAGTGGCCAATTTTTAATCTATATTTTGATCCTTTCCCCTTCACTGTCTACCGATACTGAATTATTCAAAGCTATTATTAATTTCATAAATATGATAGTTTAAAACATTGATTATATGTTTCTGCTTTTTATTTTTTCAAACCATTTTCTCTCTACTCATTCATCTTGCCTCTTTTAATTTTGGTTTTACTTGAGAATGGCTTTCAGATTAGCTTTAGTGTTATATGTTGAGCTGGATTTGCTTGTTTCTGATTCTCATGGTGTGTTTTTTTCTTTTTTAACTTAGGTTGTTGGAAGAGGAGCCTTTGGAGTAGTTTGCAAAGCTAAGTGGAGAGCAAAAGATGTTGCTATTAAACAAATAGAAAGTGAATCTGAGAGGAAAGCTTTTATTGTAGAGGTAAGACAAGATGTCATTTCTGTTGTGTAGTTTTTAACCTAAGATACTCTGTGAATTTAATTACAAAAGGAATTGTTTCTCAGTTGTCATTTCTCTCTATACTTGAATATCAGCTATTTGGTTGAACTGAAGGTAATGCCATAGGAACATTTTTTTCATTCACACTCTTAATTCCGATTAAAAATTAAGAAAAGGAAAGTTAACTAAATGAATTCATCCCTGAATTAAAATATAATTCAGAGCTACATTGAGGCATAGGATTTAAATTTTAAAATAGAAAAGAAATGCTATTCTCTCTCATTATCTAACATTAAGAAGAAAAATGCATTCATTTTGTCTGGATATTTTTAGAAATTCAAATGAGATTATTTTAAGGGAAAATAATTTCAAATTTGGTTTTTCTCATGTAGTGTGAAAATCTACAACTCTCTCACAGATTTATTGATGAAGGAGAATTTAATAATCATGAGATTGTTGTATTATTAGATTTAGTCTATTAATTTTGTGCTATTTTGTGTTTTAAATCACAGTGTTTCATTAAATCAGTGGTTTTATCACTTTTTAACCTTATTGGCCAATGGATAAGTAATCTTTATAGACTTTTTGAATTTATATCTGTGACTTTATTTAATTATAATTTTTAAATGTACTGCATGATATTTTTAAGTGTAAAACATTGAGAAATGAGAACTTGGTTGTGATATGATGAAGTGGATTTTGTCCCAATCAAAGGACATAGGGTAGCTGAATGGATAAGGAAACAAGATCCAAATATAAGCTGTCTACAAAAGGCCCACCTGTCTCAGAACAAAAGACTCACACAGGCTGGAAAAACAAACAAACAAACAAACAAAAAACTTCTGGAGGACTTTAAAGGAAAGATCGACAGCAACACCGTTACAGTAGGGGACTTGAACACCCCACCGACTTTACTGGATAGATCGTCCAGACAAAAAAATCAACAAGGAAACAGTGATTCTAAATGACACACTAGATCAGATGGATTTAGTTGACATTTACAGAACATTTCACCCCAAAGCTGCAGAATAGGCAATCTCCTCAAGTAGACATGAGACATTCTCAGACATAGACCACATGTTATGACACAAAACAAGTCTCTACAAGTTCAAGAAGATTGAAATCATATCAATCATCTCAGATGTTTACATCATGGAGTACTATGCAGCTATAAAAAAGAAGGATCCCTTACCCTTTGAGACAGCGTGGTGGGACCTGGAGAGTATTATGCTAAGTGAAATAAGCCAGTCAGAGGAAGGCAAGTATCACATGATCTTGCTTATATGTTGAATCTAATGAACAAAATAAACCAACGAACAAAATAGATCCAGAGACATAGAAGCATGGAACAGACTGATGAATCTCA